TGTCATGTAATGTAACATAATGTCGACAAAAAAATGAAGGGCACAAATCAATTTGATTTATATTGTAAAGAGAATTACTTAAAAAAAATAATAATTGATTTTAGGGTTCAAAAGAAACAAAAATACTACAATCCAACGTAGGGATCATAATGAATGGGAAGATGGACGATTCACGTTGAAGGGTACATTGAAAGCAGATAAGGATTACACTCACGACTGAGAGAGATTGATGGAGAATTGCAAAAAAAAAATATAATTCAAACTGGTTTGTAAAATAATATTTATATTTATTTATTTATTAGTTAATTTATTAAGGAAATTTAATTCTATAAATCGATTTTATATATGATTGAATTAAAATGTAGATTTAATATTAATTAATTATATTATGAGAAATATACTAACTAGTCTATAATTGGATTTCAATTAACCTTATTAAAACAAAAAAAAAAATAGTTACTAGTTAATTATTTATGATGAAATATAAGATTAAAGCAAAAAATATTTAGTCATAATCAACTTTATTTTCGCTATTTAATTTTTGTATGTGGATTTTCTTTTGTTTTTTCGATTTTCAATTAGAAAAAGTCATCTATGATAAATTTACAAAATTTGGAAGAAGAGACATTCCCAGTTTTCAATTCAGACAATACCAACTAATTTTTTAACGTATTTTGTTTGATTTCTTGTTTGTTTGATTTATAAATTGTTGGGTTTCATTTGGCTCTTGACATAGATCGGACACGTGTCCCACAAATATAATGAGGAACACTTATCATAGATTTAACATTTAACATGGTTTCTAACGTTTGGCAAATTAGAGGGTGGGTGTGTAAATAGAAGAAAACAAGGTACAAAATGACAAAATTCACGTGCTATGTTTGCTAATATTATGCTGCTAATCATAATCAGTGGATAAGTAGAACGCTAATAACATTATTTTCATGTTCAAAGAAATGCATTCAACTTACATTACCTGTCTCCCTTTTCTGTTTCATCCTTCAATCAAATTCTGAACTATTTTATTTCCAAATTATTAGAGAATTTAAGTTTGAGTGAATAAGTACAAATAAAATGATTATAATAATTTTCAACACAAAATTTTAAAATAAAGATTTTATGAATCTTTTTATTTATACATTATAATTATATATTTTTGGTTTTATTGAATTTCTAACCATTACTTTTTCACATTCTCATGCTTTTTCTTAACTTGGATATGCAATTATCTAATACCTTAATGGATGTCTAGTTTCAAAATACTATTAAATGGTACTATTTTTCCATCACTTGTTTTGATTTTGATGAGAATATTCAGTTTAGCTTGTAAATTGACCTTAGTTTATATATATTAATCCAGTTTAGTTTAAGAACATAACAGCATAAATAGTAACTGAAAGTTATGATGCAGAAAAATCAAGGAAAGAACTTGGAAATGCAGTTATTATTGTTGAGTGTGTGGACGATGTTAGTTTTAGGAGATTTTTCTTGGCTGCTCTCCAACCATTATTCCAAGTTCCTTCTAGAAACATGATCAAGAAATAGATATTCAAAGTTATACTTGTGAAAAATCAATAATTTTAACTTGTTTAGATAGTTTTGATGGAAGAATGGTCATTACATCAAATATGTGGACTTCAAGCAATAACAAAAAAAAATATGGCTGTCACTCAATATTATATGATGGCTTTTTGACTTTACAAAGTCGTATTTTGAGGTAATAATAGAAATTCTTACATTATAACTTTCCTGATTGTATTTGATATAGTATTATATGACATGTTTTTATTATAAAATGAATTTCAATACAAAGTTCTGCTTTTCATTTAAGTAAGATTTCTCATGCAACTTTTTTTTAGCATAACTTTACATTTTTTGAAAAAAATTCAGTCACTAGAGTTAGAAGTCTCACATCAACCAGAGATGACCAATTTATAATAGATAAATGAATATAAACCTTACTTTACAAACTGGTTTGTAGAGTTGAGTTAGATTTATAAGTAAGTTGTACGATAATTTTTATTTTTTTTTATATTAAATATCTAAGGATACACTATGATATATATTCGTACTTGAAGTATAGACTTACTATCCACATCAGATTTTATTATGATTATTATATTCTTTATCAGTATTTTTATTATTATTTTTTAATAATTAAGGTTTTATTAAATATTTTTGAAAGAAAATGGTTTAGTTTTATTTGTGAAATATTATGAAGATAAGTAAATATCTCATAAGATTATATTAAAAAATATATCAAAAGTTACCATTTTGGTACAATTCATTTAAGTATATTTTTTAGGTCTAATTAGCTAAGCCCAATTCATTAAGTGAGTGAGAAGACTAAGTCACTCAACATCTCTATTTTACCCTGTGGGTGGGTAGGTGCATGTTGCGAAAATAATTTTCTAGACTTTTAAATTTATTTTATTAAAAATTATTTATTTTCATAATTTCAAGGTTCTTTACCTTAATCAATAAATAATCATAGCTTAAATAAACAAAGATTACTCTCTTGCAAAAAGATATTTAAACTTTTCAATATATTATTGTACGATTTAATATATTTTTCAATATCTTAAGAGTTATTTTTGTCATTTCCATATGACACACAATTATCCAAGTTCAGGTACACCTGATACACTTATTGAGTTGTGGTAAGAATCCAAAAACAACTTTCTTTTTAATGTTAATCGATTTGGAACTTTAATAAATCCTACATGCGAGACAACTATCCAAGTTCACATACATCTAAAACACCAATTGAGTTGTGGTGACAATCCAAAAACAACTTTCTTCTTGGTATTGATCCATCGATATGGAACTTTAATGAACCAACCATTACTTAATATTCACATTTACTTCTTTTTTTGTGTAATATCCGTAAGTTGTTGACTAGTGGTGTTAAAAGTTGTTTACTATCAAAAATCTGAGTAAAATGTTTCAATTTATCTCTCTGTATATATACATTACAAAAGTTGATACCCCAATGATCTTAACTAGTGATTGAGGATGTTAAGAAGGGAAACTCTGGTCTTTATCAAACGCCTAAACAGAAATTCAAAACCTTCTTCAAGATCTTGAACAAGCGACTCCACTTTCTCCAACTGGTTTTGCAGTCTACTAATGTTATCAAATTTACTTGTATGGGAAAACATGCAGGATTGCAATGCTTCATCAAGTTGAGCAAATTCACATTCATCTGCCAACTTTGAGCACCCTACTTTCTTCGTCTGCATAAGCTTGGAAACCAAACTCCAGCTGCTTGACTTTGATTGTGCACTCCCTGAGATCAAATGAAGTAGCGTCTGAAATGCTGATAGAGTGACCACTTCCACGTTCTCCATTAAATTAACCAAAGCTACTGTTTGATTATCTTTGTTTGCAGGTGATGACATGCTGCATTTTCTTGGGGTACCCTTCAAATTTGCCAAGGCTTTTGAGATGGCCCTTTTGACCACCTTTCTTGAAGTCAAGAACTTCTTAATCTCTGATCTGAGCTCTACTTCACCCCCCTTTCTCCTTCTCATAATCGATTGAAGTTCTCTCATGCACTCTTTTGTGTGCAGTAGAGAGTCTTTGGCGGTTGTGCACACATCTAAGAGCCTTAAGGATCCATTCAGAAGCTCATCCACCCAGTTTTCTTGACTCTCACGGTGAAGTGCTTCTTGAGTGAGGGGAAGCTGAAACAAATTTTCTACACATTCATGTAGATCTTGCAACCCTCCTAGCTTGTGGCTAAGGGTTGAAGAGGAAGAGGAGGTTTCATGGGAAGCCCTTAACCTGTCCAAGTGCTCATTGCATTGTAGGATAAGTGGGTGTGCTCTAGAGGGTAAGCTGTTTGAACGAGCATGGAAATGGGATTTTGAGTTCAACTGTGAGGTTGCCATTTTTTCCTCAGGGGAAGAGAAGGCTAGATGTTGAGAATAGAATTCAGTTTTTTGATCTACCTTCTTGCTAATGCCATCTTCTCAATATATATATAACAGTGTGTTGAGGACACAAGGAATCTCACCTTAAACTAATATCAATAAGTGCTAACAAATCAAGATTTGGATCTAAACATGATCACATAATTGTTAGGAAAGTGTCTCCCACATGGAAACTCTCCAACTAACACTTTGCTCCGTTTTTCTCTCTCACTTCGATGATTTACCATAAAAAACATGCATTTAATGATGTAAATTGATCTGCACGTGTGGACTACTTGATGTCTTAAACAATGGCTGCAGTACTGCTGAGCTTGTCTCTCATGCAGAAACAAGAACTGCATAACTCTATTTCCCGTTTATTAAAATAAAGCTAACATTGTGTGAGAGAAAAGAAGGGGGAGAGGTGAAATGGAGCCTGAGCCTGTGTTTCTGTTGCATCTCATTGATTTAAAACAAAACTGTCTAATGGTCAGGAACACGAGGTCTGTAAAGTAAGAGAACAAATTGAGTTGAGATTCAACTTCCATCCAGTGCCATGTGCTCAACATATATAATGGACATTTACTGAAGATGCAAGGAGTCTCACATTAATGAGTGCTAACTAATCAAGATTTGAATCCAAACATAACCTTATTAATGTTAGTGCAATGTCTCCCACAAGGAATCTCCTGACAACTCGTTTCTCTTAATTAATATGCTATCATGCAACACACGGTTTGCAACAACTGCTTTGAAAATTAGTTCTTTAAAAAATGTATTTCACTGTCACCCCTCGTGTGCATGTGTAGACTTGTTCGATGGCTAAAGCACAGGCTTAGGTCACGCTGGCCATCGGTTGCTGCTACATGTGCATGATTGAATAATAACCAATAGACTATAACATCTATAAGTGAACTGAATAAAAGAAAAATGTTACTGAGCAGTTGCTTTTCTGCTTCTGTGACTCTAGAAGTAAGAAAAGTGTTTACTGTTCTATGATTCTTTATTTTCATTTATGTTAATGGTGAACTTTTAGGAGGAAAAGGAAAGTTGAAAGATGAGATGTAGAGGGTAAACACAGGAACTGTACAAAAAGATATAGATGTTGAAGTAACAATAGTTTGATCCTCAATCGATATGTATTTAATACATTATAAACAAATGTAATCACATTCATGTACAATTGTGACACTCGTGGGGGAAAATTGAGGGCACAAAAATCAAGTAGATACTATGATTAGTGGTTGAAGATGTTGAGAAGGGAAACTCTGTTTCTGATTAATTTTCTTGAGAGGTGATCAACACCTATTTCGAGATCATGAATGCACAGCTCCAAATTTTCCATATCACTATGAAAATTGTCAATAGACGAAAGCTTGTGACTGACGAGAGACTGCAAGGCTGCATCCACCTTTTGAAATTCAATTGTGTTTGATTCTTGAGAGTCACAAACTTCTCTTTTAGGCTTCATCAACTTGGATATTGCTGACCATCTGCTGGGTTTTGAGTGTCCTTTTTGGCCAGAGATAAACATCAGCGTGATTGTTTCCGCTTCATCTGAGAAGCTAAGCATACTTGAAGTGTTATCGCTTTTGTGCTTCAAACTTTTCAGGGTCTTTTGAATTTGCTTCTTCATCTTCTTTCTCATAACCAAGTATGTCACACATTCAACTGCGAATCCATTTTCACTGCCTTTCTTAAAAAAAAAAAAAAAAAAAATTAATTTAATTTAAAAAAAAAACAATTTAAACAAAAAAAAAAAAAAAACATTAAAAAAAAAATTGCAGAATTATTTGAAGCCCGATTTCTCGTGGTTGGATTTTGCTTTATATATAGGAAGAGAAGTTACAAATTATGGGAGACAAGGAATAATATTTTTTCCTCAAATGTCACCTAATGAGTATGCAATTCTATCATATTGATTTGGATATCAACATCATCACTTGAAACGCTTTCCATGCATCCAACACATCCCACAACTTATTTATTAATAAGATAGGAATCACATGGCAGATTACAAAATGGCACATCTTGAGAATATAATAGTTGAAGGTGTGTGATGATGCATGCATTTGTAATGGGAGTTTTTGTGTGGAGCATGAGAGGAGTTATTTAGTAACATAATTGACTTTTGAGTCTTATGATTGTCTGCCTATAACAGCTCAGATTAAGGACAGGTGGAATCTTCATCTTCTGATATATTGGTCACTTGTTGGTGGGGATGCTTATGTTCAAGGAGCAAACTGAGTGCCGAAAGATGGTTCAAGGAACACGCCTAGGTTTATGACGCACAAGTTAATAAAAAAAAGATGATTGTTCAAGGAGCAAGGCTCACCAAGCTTGAGTAGGACTGGAGGTGCAGCAGCCTGTTTTCCCTCCACTGCCAAGAGCCGGAGGTGGTCGCTGCTCTGTGAAACCAGCCTCACGCTGTGCCCTCCTGTCTAAGAACCAGGAAACCGATGCCTTCGCAAAGGTCCCATGGACCAACTCTCAGCTTGGAATGGGCAGGCCAGCAAGTTGCAACCTCAAGACCAGCTTAGCTAGCCATAGCCTTGTTCAATCATCCTCTTGCCCCCACTCAGGTCACAAGCTGGCGTTACCCAGCCCGGCAGACAGACATGTACGTCAGAAGATTTATAAAGACTCTTTTATCTAATATTCTGAACGGTGTGGGACTTGGAAATGGCAATATTCAGTACTTAGAGTCTTTAGTTGGAAACTGAGGCTTGTTCCTTCCCGTCTATTTTCTCCATGGTATGATATGATACATCATAATACATTATAACCTTGTAACCCAAAGGTTTCGTTGAGTCATTTTAAGGTGATGAGAAAAACATAAAAGTGGCATTTTAAAGTGTTGATTCCACTTTGATTAATACCCTCGCAGAAAAACTTCAATTTGGATTATATCTTTTAATTCAATTCTTTATGGATCTCCAATTCGGAACCATCGGGTCCAAAGAATGAAAATTTGTTTGTGCACCTTCATCATTTCTTCTTACACCCCTTAAGTATGATAAAGGTAAAATAACACCTTTTATTAAAATATAAAAGATAACTTAATTTTCTCTAAATACCCCTTTACGTCCTCCATCCTCAATCAAGGTTTTTTTTAAGAACGGTGCAATTCGTTGTAAAAGTTATGTAAATAGATATTTTCTTAAAAACTTACTAAGATAGAAAAGTTGTGTAAGAAGTCATGGTGAAGTAAGACAAATTTTTATCAATGAAGGTAAATTTGTGTTAGTAGTGGATGAAATTGTTTGAATCAAACACAACTTCTCTTAACATTAATGAAGTCATGGAACTTGAAACCTTGAGACGACTTCAAACTAATTGAATAATAATGAAAGTTGTGGAAAGTCATCACAAAATAAGTTGTTGGCATAACCTTGACCTTGACCTTGAAACTATAGTTGGACGACAATATAGTGATCGTCCTAGTTAGTTTTTCACATGAAATGAGTAGAATATTTGTAAAATTAATGGAAGCAGAAACCCATGAAAAAAAGTATCAAAAAGGGATAAAAAAGCATCGTCAGGGTATGAGATAATTGGGTTAAAGCATGGTCTGCCATGTTGGAACATAGCTGGCCGAGTTAGAACATAGTCAACCAAGTTGAAACACAGTCGATTGGATTGGAGAGGTGAATGAAGTGCGATGGTCGTCGGAGGAAGTCCGTTAGGTTGAATTAAAGAGACTAACCCTAACTCTAACCATAGTTAACTAACCATAGTTTTTTAATTGTGATTAACTAACCCTAGTTAACTAATTATGGTTAATTCACCCTAACCCCAATCATAACAATGATTAACTAACTATAACCCTAACACTAACCATAATTCTAACCCCAACCATAACCATAAACTTTAACCCTAAATCTTAACCATAATCCTAACTCTAAATCCTAAACCTTAATCTAACCATAAGTCGAGTTTCATTTTCTTTACAAACATTAGTTTCTCTTTTCTATGTATAATTAACAAACTATTTACTCAGCTAAAAATAAATAAACTTTACCATAAAAAAAATAAAAATAAAAAAATGAGATAATATGACTTGTTAATATCTAATCAATCATAAATCCATGAAATAGAAGAAAACGAATTGAACAGATAAACTAAAAGTTCAAATTGATCAATTTTATTTTTATAATTTTATTATTTTCTATTCTAATATACATAAATATAGATATAAACGCTAAAAAAACACATGATTATATAAATATACATATTTTCATCTTTCATATAATACAATGCAAAAAACTATTCTTTTAAAATATTTTTCATTTAAAAATTACCAAGCTTAAAATATGATCACCATAGGAGAAACTTGAATCTTTGAAAAAAAATCACATATAAACACTTGTTGATCTACCTAAAATCAAAATTTAGTTGAAAGAAAGCAGGTGACTATTCAAGAAAAAGAGACATTTCATTAGGTAAGAAAAAAGAAACATAAAAGGTAAGATGGTGACTGAAAATTCTGTACTAAGGAGTGAGAGTTTATTATAATAATATATTATTACGTAAAGTATTGTTCAATAAAGATTTAAGAAACCAATAAAAAGAACCTATTTATTTCTTTTGTAAGATACTTGCAATATCTTCTGAAACTGATATATCATTGGTGGCGATGCTTATGCAGTGTTCCAAAATGCACTCAGTTTGCATTAAAAACAGACATTACATTTATAAAAAAAAGTAATTGTTCAAGAGCAAGGCTCACCAAGCTCATTTGAGGACTGGAGGAGCAGCAGCCTGTTATCCCTCCACTGTCAAGAGCCGGAGGTGGTCGCTGCTCTGTGAAACCAGCCTCACGCGGTACCCTCCTGTCTAGAAACCAGGAAACCAACGCCTTCGCAAAGATCCCATGGCTCAGCTCCTGACTTGGAGTGGGCAGGCCAGCAAGTTGCAGCCTCCAGACTAGCTTAGCAAGCCATAGCCTTGTTCAATCACCTCAATGCCCCCACTCAGGTCACAAGCTGACGTTACCCAGCTCGGCGAACTGACATGTTTGTCAGAAGATTTATAAAGACTAGTTTGTCTAATATTCTTAACAACATGGGACTTCCAAATGGCAATATCAAGTTCGTAGAGTCTTGAGTTGGAAACTGAGGCTTTTTCTTTCCCGTCTATTTTCTCCATGGTATGATATGATACGTCGTAATAACCCAAAAGGTTTCATTGAGTCATTTTAAAGTGTTCATTCCACTGTGATTAATACTCTCATCAGAAAATGTTCAATTTTGATTATATCTTTTAATGTACTTATGGATCTCCAATTCGTGTTAGTCGTGGCCCTTTTATGCATACTATAAAACTGAGATGAAAATGTCTCTCCAATTTTATGTTTGAGTTAATATTTGTGTCTCTAATTTTGAAATCCCTATGAAATTTCTTTTATTCACAATACAAATTTCATATGCTTATGAATTATTACTTACAAATATGTTTTTGGGCCTTGTATTTATTTGACAGGCTAGAAATATATTGTTTTGTGCAGACTGTAAATCTGAGATGAGAATTATGGTTTCTGCTTTTCACAGTTGATAGAAAAGAGTGGGACTTTGGGGGTTATCACAGCAGCATGAAAATTGTATAAATGGAATGAATTTTTTCCTATTTATCTTCTTTATTTTATAATTTCATGGGCATATTGTAATTGCCAAAGCCGTAAGAGCTTGTTTCTTTTATATTTATCTATTGGTAGGAGACTGTGGTAAAAGTTCAATTTTGAAATAGTTTCTCATTCATCATGCACCCATTTAGCAGAAGTCAAATGTTTCTTTGTGCTTGACTGATGGTCACATTTGATGATTGTGTTTCTTTTAAGGTTCCATGGAGTAGGCTTGGCCAAGATCCAGTCCCAGTATATTTGGATTGCATTTTCTTACTAGATGAATCTGCAACTCAGTTGGGGGATGTTGTCCAAGACGCTAAGAGCTGATTAGAGGTAAGAATTCAGAAGTAAGATTTAGATAAAGTGTATTCACTTTGGGTTGAAGATGATTTATTTGAGGCTCACTTTTCTTCCATTTGGCAACAGGAGATGGAACTGAAACTTTGGGAGAAATCACAACAGTTAAAATCAGAAATGGTATGAATTTCACTTTTACAAAACTGCACCACTGTCACAAAACTTTTGCTTGTTTCTTGTCAAAATCTGTATATGTTAACAATCGAAACTATCCCAGAGTTGAAGGACAAATTCCAGCCTTACCCCCAAACCTCAAACAAAATGTTTCGCATGAAAGTTGGTAACAAATTTGCCTTATATTAAGAATTCCTTATATCAACTCATGTCTCTTTGTGCCTGCAAGTTTCTGTATGATTAAGAATACCTTGTATTAACTCATGTCTCTTTTTCTTTAATGTTAAGAACCGATCATGGTTGGGATCCCTCACTGGCACCATCATTTGAAACATGAAGCTTTCACTTTCTAATATTCCCATCAGATATGAGGATAGTGACAGGTAATAGAAAATTTTGGAATGTTTTGTGATGGAAATTAGATCTCTCAGCCTTTTATACCCTTTTATTGCCTGGTATTTTCCTTTGTAGCAATCAGGGCGATCGTTTGCAGCTGGAGTTATGCTGGATAAACTCTCTGCCGCGACAGTTGATGATACCGGGAAAGAGACTTCTATTACTTGAGGTACACTAGATTGCATTCAAATGGTTTTCATGTGACTGGTATTGGCTGTAATGATGAAATTCTTTTGTAAGATTAAGATGCTTGTTCAATTTTAAAACTGAGATGAGAATGTCCCTCCAATTTTAAATCTGAGTTAATATTGTGTCTCCAATTTTGAAAGCCATATAAAGTTTCTGTTATTCACAATGGAAATTTCAACTTAGGTTTTCCAAAGAGTTCTCGAAGCGTATGCTACAAAGCTCTTTGCTAGACTCCCAAAGGGGGGAATTGGAATTGTTGCTGCAGCCACAAGCGTGGATGGACAAACAAAGGTATTTTCAAAGCAACTGGTTATTCATCGTAGTGAGAAGTTTCATATTAGTGCTGTCAAACAACTTTCATTATGTGTGTTTTTATTCTCTGTATATCTTTTTCGGTTACTCTTCTTTTTCAAGAATTTATAAACTTTTAAGCTTTCTCTTTTACTCTCTTGGTTTTTGTAAACGTTAGATTTTTTTGTTAAAAGGTAAGATAAGCCACTTGATTGGATCTTGATGGTTGTGCTGTTCTGTCTGAACTTTATATTTGTTATCCCTTCCTTTTTCTGTTGTACTTTTCTGATTTGCAATTACTTGATTTCATAGAATTTTACAACATTGAAGCTTTTAGATTTTTCACTAAATGCTTAACAAGATGGCATGCATGTTTATAACTTGGTATAAGACTCACTCACGGTGCATTTTGCAGTTATGTCAGTGGCATTTGTTGGACGCTCCCTGTTTTAAACATTTGTTGATCTTATGGGGGTTTCATTATCTAATGCATTACTTTGCATGGATGCTAATGACCCTCCAAAAACCTTGGCTACCATGCAATTAATTGGTTCCATATTTCAAATGTAAGCTTTAAACTTTTAGACATATTGAATAAATAACTTCTTATAATCTTAACCTTATCTACCTTGTGATTATCTTTTACTGCTATGCTGCTTCTGGATTTTCTTGAAAGCTGACATTTTTTTCAGGTTAGTTCCACAATTTCACCAGCTCTTGAGGCTGCAATTGAATATCAACTTAAGATATTGTCAGTTTGCATCACATATGGAGGTCCTGCACTCCTTCGCTACAAGGATCAATTCAAAGAAGCTGTCTTCTTTGCTTTTGACTCACCATCTTGGAAGGTCTTTTTATTTCCATTGGTTCCTAATCTATTTGATTGTTACTTCCAATGATAGGTCAATGAAGTTGCTGATCATCTTATCCAATGGATCAGTATAAGTATGTATATATAAGTGTTTGACTATGTTTATTTAGTTTTTTCTGCTCTCATTCTATGGTTTTATATCTTTCTCTGGAAATTCAAATGTTAAATTTTTTATTTCATAGGTGTGTTCTTAGTCACCCTGATGATGTTGCCCTTGAAGAATGGATTAGCACAAAAGGTTTTTCCACTTAGGTAAGCTTTATCCCAAAATGGCATATTCCATGAGATGAAGAAACTCATTTTGCAAATGAGCTTATAGACATTCACTTCCAGTTAGCTTTGGATGATCTGTTGAAAATATGCAAGTGTAAAATCCATGCAGACCAAAGTATGAGAAATACCCATGTCTCAAGTAGTTTATAATTTCTTGCTGATAAAAAAAGTTGTTTATATTTTACGTCGTCATCCTTAGCGAGATAAATTATGATACCTCAACAATGTTTTGATTTTATACTTATTACCATGATCAACATAATACCTAAGAATGAAAATACCATCGAACTTACTAAAATTGTGGAAAAAGACTGTTCTAAGACGTAAACTATCATTTTTTGATACACCTTTATGTTTTTCTAAAACAGTTTGATGTTTATATTATGTTCCTCATGTCAATTTAATGCTTGAGACATGATAAATGTTTATTGGGTTGGGTTGGGTTCGGGTTCGGGTCCGATCTGGTCAGGTCGGGTAGGGTCAATTGAGTCAGGTCGGTTGGGTTGGGTTTGGTTCGGTGCGGTGTCATGTGGTGCGGCGCGGTGCGGGGTTAAGGTCAGGTCGGGTTAGTTTGGTTCGGTTCGGGTATGATATGGTTAGGTTGGCCAGGGTCAGTTGGGTTAGGTCAGGTCAGGTTGGGGGGGTTCGGTTGGGATGGGTTGAGTTCGATTCGGTTGGGTTGGGTTGGGTTGTGATGGGTTTGGGTTCAGTTGGATGGGTTGAGTTCGGTTCGTTTCGGTTTAGTTCGGTTGGTTTCGGTACGGTTAGGTTCGGGTCCGATTTGGTCAGGTCGGTTGGGTGGGGTCGGGTTGGATTAGGATGGGTTGGGTTCGGTTGGGTTTGGTTAAGTTGGGTTCGGTTAGATTCGATTCAGTTGGGTTGGGATGAGTTCAGTTGGGTTAGGTTCGGGTCGGGTCAGGTCGGTTGGGTGAGGTTGGGTTGTGTTGGGGTGGGGTGGGTTGGGTTCGGTTCGGTTATGTTGGGTTGGGTTGGGTTGGGTTCGATTCAGTTCAGTTGGGTTCGGTTGGGTTGGGTTCGGTTGTGTTCGGTTGGGATAGGTTAAGTTAGGTTCGGTTAGATTCGATTCAGTTGGGTTGGGATGAGTTCAGTTGGGTTAGGTTCGGGTCGGGTCAGGTCGGTTGGGTGAGGTTGGGTTGTGTTGGGGTGGGGTGGGTTGGGTTCGGTTCGGTTATGTTGGGTTGGGTTGGGTTGGGTTCGATTCAGTTCAGTTGGGTTCGGTTGGGTTGGGTTCGGTTGTGTTCGGTTGGGATGGGTTAAGTTCGGTTCGGTTGGGTTCGGTTTAGTTGGGTTGGGTTGAGTTGTGATGGGTTGGGTTCGGGTCCGATCTGGTCAGGTCGAGCATGGTCAGTCGGGTCAAGTCGGTTGGGTGGGGTTCAGTTAGGTTCGGGTCGGTTGGGTGGGGTTCGGTTTGGTTTGGTTCGGAAAAAAAGATGTTTTAGATGTAGTGGTAGCCTAAAAATAGGGAGACTATGTTATTTTAGTATTAAATTATTTTATTATAAATAGTTTTGTTATAAACGAGTTTTATTATTTTAAAGCATATTAACTATTATTCTAGAGTTCTCTATCTTCTCTCTATAGATTCTAACACCTCGATCATCTAGCCTATGTTTTTACTCATTTTTTTATTTGCACATTTCCCATCTTACTAACTTAGTTATTAATTTGTATTGTCTTGTTTGAATGGATGACTTTTAATATTAGTCATTGTTACTTATGGTCCAAGGATTCTCATACTGATTTGGTTATTTTTATTTTGTAATTTGATGATGATAAGTGTGAAAAATGTTTGTTTTCATATTTATAAATGAGCTCAAAGTTGTAATTATTCATGAAATAACGTGTTTTCCTCGTTGAAAAGTTGTAATGGGAAGTAGGAAAGTTGTTTAGGCAATTGTACAAGAACTTATACATATGTGGAGTACTATCAGATGTTTCTCGCTAAGCCAGCCTTTAATAGCTCAACTAAAAAGATTATTATTCGCTCAACGTACCAAAATAATTCGTTGAGCGAATTATGAACAATTAAAGGATATGCAGTTGATTATTCGCTCAGCGCATGATAGCTGTGTGCTCAGCGGATTAATTAAATCATAATTGGCTTTTAAGGTCGAGACAGACCGAAAACATCTCAGGAACTTCAGAAGACTACTTCAAGGCATCAAGACACCATTTTTGCAAGGGATTGCTTCAAATGTGCACGTTATAGATGACTAAGAGTAGTTAAATTTCTATTTCGTTGGAATTGGATGTAATGAACTCAATGTGATGTAATTTTCCTATTCAATATATCGTTGTTTGTTCATATGCTCTTTCTTGAATTTACTATCATTGAATGGAAATATAATGTTATTTGATTATCTCTGATCTCTTGAAAGTAATTTTGAACATAGACATAGATAGAGGACCTAAGTGATCTGGGCGTTAGGGATAGATTCAATAACTTGGTCATTCTTAGCATCATACTTAATGCAAATTGTATGTTAAATTGACTAAGGGATTAACAGTTTAATATGTTAATTTAGAATTAATTGCTAAGTGATTAGGACTAGTATGTCTTGATGTGAATGTTTGAATGAAATAATGAAATATTGAACAGAGTTTTATATTAATATGATTGATGAAATCTAATTCCTTGCACACGAGTCTCTTAAGAAAAGATATTTGATTTTACCATTTTATATTACTTGAATGATTTGGTATACTTGCCAATAAATTAATTGATGCTCATGTGCAGAATTTCGTGTGACTGTGAACATTAAATTGTAAGAATATTATCGACATTAATGTAGTCATTAACTACATGAAAAAAATTTAAAAAACTGAATATCATTCTATTTACAGGATTGGTAATTTATATTTTTTATGGATTCTTGAGGCAGCTTCAACAACAAATTATGGCAAGTGGTGGGTTAATTCGGACTAGGTGAATTTGTAGTGATGCTTGTGTTGTGATTCATATCTTTTTTTAAAAATTAAAATTGATGGAATATATATAAACTTTTAAATTAACTCATTATAATATAATACAAACAATTAAAATTTTAAAACTTTCAGTAACTGTTTCCAAAGATACAGTGAAAATACAAGAAAGATAATGTTAAGTTATTTAAGCAAATAAGATGATTAAGATGTAATTAACACGTGTAACAATAACTATGGTTGAAATCAAAAACACATTATTTAATTGAACACCAAAAAAATACTTCTTTTTATATTTTTAATCCAAAAAAATATGTAATATATTATGACATTTCACTTTTTGGCACTAAAAAATATATGATTTTGAAAATTTTACATGAATTTTGGAACAAACTCCTGTTAGATTTAAAAGAAGAATAGTGGGCAACAATGAAAATGCTCATAAAGAATAATTTGAAATTCAATCATCAAATCCAAATATATATAAAAGATTGTGATAGTAAATCAAATCTGAATTGAATTATTTATTTTTATTATATTTTATAATTTTCTTTTGGTGCTCTTATTTTAATTGTTTTTAAATACGAAAGTAGTATAATGTATAATTACTACAATAAAATATATATTATTAAAAATAAGATTAATATATAAATATATGATTACAAATAAAAACAATATTTTTCAAATCAACAAATACGACTAACTTTGTTTAATTTTTTTATAACAAATCAAAGATAAAATAGACTATTTCAAAAATATTAATATCAAATATGTATGTTAAACCGATTACTTGACCTAACTTGATTTATTACGGATTGACAACTTAAAGAGTTAATCCAATCGAATTCATTTAAATTGAGTTTAGAAATAAAGAATGAATGATAAGATTCAAGATATGGAATAAGATTTGTTTCCTTCTTATTTTTCTACCATAATTTTTTCATATGATTTTTATTTTATAAATAAATAAATAAATAATATTGTGAGATAAGAAAAATATATTTGAGTTAGGAATAAGTCAAGTGTCTTTTTCCTTGGTTAACATTAGTGTCTTTTTTACATATATGCGAGAAACTATTTACTTAGTTAAAAATAAATTAACTTTACAATAAGAAAAGTAAAAGTAACAAAGTTAATACTAAGGAAGAGAATGCGGGAAAATACGAGAGAATAAAATATCGATTTCATTGGAAGTAAATTTGGAAGAGGGAATTCCCAAATTTTGAGTAGAATTTACCAATAACCTCAGATTTGTCGGTAAATTAAGTCATCAATATATTAGCAACTAATGTATTCGTTAATAAAAAAATAGTAAAATTTGTCAAATATTTTGACAAAAATTAATATTTATTGATGAATTTCAAACTGTCGATAATTATTTTGTCGGTAAAACGTGTTTTTATTGTAGTCTTTTGTTTTTTTCTTGAAACAAGTATTCTAATATGTATATTTAATGATTCAAACATGGAAAATGTGACTATTTCAACATCCTTTAACATGTTAGAAGAGAAGTTGTCCGAACAACCTTCAAATTCCCCATGGCTTTGAAGATGATCTCAAGAACGCAAGAACTTATTAACCTTCAGTTGTGATCCCCACCTCTCATGATTGATTGAAATTCATGCATGCACTCCTTTGTATGCTACATTAAATCTTTTGAAATAAGTTTATAAATTACAATATACCTAGATCAATATGATCATAACCCTTAAATAAACAATCTCTACAATTAGTATACTTAATATTCTAAGAGTTTAATTTTAATAATTAATTAATGTTAATTCATAAATTAATAATCTGTACATTTTTGGCGACTCTTGAATTCCAAAACCTCATGCAGAAGAGTATTGATGAACCAAATTTTCAACACATTCATGCAGATGTTGCAACTCTTGTAGTCTATTGATGGAACATCTTAACTTGGCCAAGTGTTTATTGAGGGTAAAGAAGAGGCCTCCGTTTTTCTGCAAAGTAAGAGAACAAATTGATGTTGTGTGGGTTCAACTTCCATCCAGTGACATTTTAAAGTGTTGATGCCACTTTGATTAATACCCTCATCAGAAAAGATTCAATTTTCATTATATCTTTTAATGTACTTCTTTATTGATCTCCAATTCGGAACCACCGGACCCAAAGAATGGAAAATTGTTTGTGCACCTTCATCATTTCTTCTTACACCACATAAGTGTGATAAAGTTTAAAAAACCTCTTATTAAAATATAAAAGTAAGCTAAATTTATCTATTGAAATGTACT